ACTCCTAAGACTGTGGAAAACAAAAAGGGCAACACTCAAGAATAAGCAGCTCAGATAAGGGTGAAACATGGCATCTACAATCACAGCTACAAAGTCTCTAGTTGGTCCTGACTGAATTTGAGATCATATTAGGTGAACTGCACAACTTTCTTAATCCATTCACCACCAAAGTTGGGTATAATATTGCAACTATCACTCTCATTCACCCCATTTCACCCCATTTATCCAATTTCAGTAACACTATTATCAATCTCAGCTCAGCATATAAAGACTGACGAGATTATATAACTATTCCCAACCAGCAAACAGCATAGGATAGGCTAGAGCTAAGTTCACCACCATCACCAGCATCTGCAACACATCCATTTCAGAGCGGTGGGGTAAAACAGAGTTAAAACAGACAGGCAAAATACAACATCATTAATATACATATAAGAATATACACACAAGATCAACATCAATGAAATGCATATCAAAAATGCATAGCTTAAGACTGATTGGGTAGGCCTGTTGGAAGACACAGGCCTTTAGTAGGGGTGTGCAAGTTTTTTGCTAGTTATCATAAGTTGTATCAAATTCGTTAAATTTGTACTTATAATGTGATATTTCAAAACTTTGCTATTGGTTGTCGGTTTAGATCAGGGGTCCACAAACTTTTTAAACAGAGGGCCAGGTCACAGTCCCTCAAACTGTTGGAGGGCCGGATTATAATTTGAAAAAAAATGAATGAATTCCTATGCACACTGCACATATCTTATTTGTAGTGCAAAAACACTTAAAAACAATACAATAATTAAAATGAAGATTAAATTTAACAAATATAAACTTATTAGTGTTTCAATGGGCAGTGTGGGCCTGCTTTTGGCTGATGGAATAGGATTATTGTTGTTGTTGTGTGTTTTCAAGTCGTTTCAGACTTAGGTTGACCCTGAGCGAGGGCCGGGTAAATGACCTCGGAGGGCCATATCCGGCCCCCAGGCCATAGTTTGATGAACCCTGGTTTAGATGTTCGGTAGCCTTGCAAAGTCAGTTTCATTTTCAGTGCCAGCAAGCAAAGCAAAGTCAAAAGGCTGCATTTCCTCTTTAAATTAATGGCCTCTCACAATTAGGAGAGGGAAGCAGCAGGGAGAAAGCAGAGATTACTGGGGGAAAGACTGAGAAAGCACAGAATTCTGAGAAATGTAGCTTGGAAAGGCGAGGTCTATGCCAGAGAATTCAAAACAGCCTGCCCTAAACTACATTTCCCAGCATTCTGCTCAACATTGGAAAACCCCAATCAGGATAGGCGGGAGATTTGTCCCTCCGTAGCCACAACTAGCCAGAGTTCCAATAAACTGTTGAATCTGCAAAAAGGAGGACTAACTGATACTTTCTAGTAAGTAAATCTCTGTGCTGGATTTTGAAGAAATCCCTAAATTGAAATTATATTAGTTAATATGAGGGACATTCAATGAGATAGCTGTTATGGCTTTTTTTTAAAAAAAGTTTTTTTGTCAAAACCTTAAAAACTTCCCTAAAATCAGTAGATGTATGAATATTTCTGAAAGCTGGGGGGAATTATCCCCTGTTATCTTGGGTCATTGTAGAGAAAATTCAAGGATATTGCTCTTGTAGTTTTTAAAAAATGTTTATAAAAACTGAAAATTCTCCGAAAATCTGTGGATAAGTGAAACGTTTTGAAACTTGATGGGCTAATAGTGGTAAATGTGTTCTGCCATTATAGAAGTATCATCCCAGTAAGTGTAAAAATGATGGAGAAAGGAACCCCTGAAGTTTCCCCACCTGCACAATTACTATAACAAAAAAGTAATGAAATTTCATTACTCTCATTATAGTAACTAAATTTTTGCTAATGATTTTTTAGAAACACTTTCGAAATGAAATACCGGCACCCCCTAATAGTGTAATAACTTTTGAAACATTTTTTTATTGATCGCACAGCCCTAATATTTAGTTATGTCTTAAATTCTGACAGCTTGTTTAGCTGTCAAATTCCTTCTGGCAGGTCGTCCCACCATTGGTATGGCCAATGAAAAGGTTCCCGGGTGACAGTTGCCAGTCATGTTCTGGCTGGATGGAGTAAACACCCCTCAGGGGACCTCTGTGTTGAGGGGTACATTGTGGGGGAGAAGGCGATCATGTAGGTAGTCTGGATGCAAACCATTTAGGGCTTTAAAAGTCAAAACCAACACTTTGTACTTTGCCCAGAAACTAATTGGAGTGATTTTAGTATAGGTGTCATATCTCTCTACTTTAGGCAAGGACAACCTGGGGGAATTGGTGGGCATGCTGAATATCCTAGAGCCCCTTCCTGATGGAATAAAAGAAAGATATCTTACCACTACTGCTGCCACCAAATATGCTCTCGATTCTGTTTTCCAATTGCCACAAGGAAATATGGAAATCAAGGACAGCATGTCATTTCCCAGCCAAATCACATTCCCAGCCCTAGCATGGAAAGTGTGAAAATGTGAGAAGTAAGGCAAACACTTACTACTCACCATGTTTCCTAACAGAACTGTAGAACTGAGGTAGGAACCCAAAAGGTATAAAATGGCAGGTTAAAGAGTCCTGGGCCCTATTTTTGTTTCAGTTTTAATCTTACAAACATGCCCAGAGATGTCCGCCGAAGGTGTCAGCAACCCTTTTAACTTTAAAAGATGGCACCAGGCATCAGCACAGCAGCATGCAGAATTAGAAATATATTTGCTGCAAGATAGGAAATGTTTGTGACTGCAAGGTTTTAGCTGGAGGGGAAGTTATTGCTTAGTCATCTGCAGTCTCCATGGGATGGAGGTTGTATGCACTGGTTGTCATAAACGGCCCCTCAGGGTCAATCACTATCAGGACAGAGAAAACAGTGAAGAAGTTTGCTTGGCACCAATTATACAGCTGAGAATTCAATCTGGAAAGTGTCTCCTCCTCTCTTGCAACCTACATTTCCATCTTCTGGCTTTTTTGTTAGTATTTCCTCCATGTGATAAGTTGTCCAGTGTCAACATTGAAAGGGGGGAGGGGGGAGCATCCTCAGAAATAGCTTCAAGCAGAAGCAAACAGAGATATTTCTGTGAGCGATCACTGTAACTGTCCATTAATTCCAGCAGATGTGCCAGTAGCCTGTTTGTTCTGATTCTAGGGAAGAGAATTTGCTTGCAACAACAATACAGAATTTGACAATAATACTGGCTGTAATATTATAAAAACGAGTATTAAATACAACAGCAGGAAGGTTAACTAGGACTGATAAAAAAAAAACTTGGGCTGGGGAGAAGCTTCTCTTACTCTGCTTCTACAGAACTAGACCTATTGCCCATGCCCATGGGTGAAATGTTCAATCCTAAAAATAGAGTAGAAGATTCTGAAGCAACATTATGATGGTTAGAGAGAGCATGCAATACTTACAATGGTTGCCAAGATTAGATAGCCTATTCTTGCCCCAGTCTCTTCCCACTAATCGAGTATGGGTAACGCCACCCAACCAAAAGAGTCGGATGTATTTTTTGATTACTATGAGAAGAGTACATAGAAAGCTTACAAGCTTTATTTCTCATCTACCGCACCAAAATATGACAAGTTACAATGGAGGATTAATCAGCTTGCTGTTGGATGCTTTTAAATTGTTTCCAACGTATGGTAATCCTAAGGTGAATGTATCACAGATCTTTATTGGCAAGGTTTGTTCAGAAGAGTGTTGCCTTGGTATCAAATATCTACCCTGTTTGACACCACTTTAATTGGTTTGATGCCACTTTAACTGAAATAGCATAATGCTATGGAATCCAGGGATTTCTTTTTTGATTATTTTCTTTGATGGAGAAGGCTAAAGACCTTCCAAATTTACAACTCCAATGATTCCATAATATTGAGCCATAACAATTAAAGTGGTGTCAAACTGCATTATTTCTGCAGCATAGATACACCTTGACAGAGTATGCCTTGTCCCAAAGCTCAATGAATCTAATTCCTTGACTGAAAGGGGTTTCGAACCCTGGTCCAGAGTCAAAGTTTAGAGCTCAAGCCAAAACACCATGTTGGTTCCCTAATAACTGGTATGCTACATTAAATTCTGTTTACAGATAAGAAACCATGGAAAAAATGTAAGAAAGACAAAAGCATTTATATTCTGGTGAAATGTGGTTGGAAGGAAAAAATAAACTTCTTCTAAAATGGAATCAATGAAGACCTGGAGCAGATCTGGCATGGAAGAAAGGAGAGAGCACTATACAATTTGCAGTCTGAAAATGATCTGGATGAAGTTTTTTATATAGATTTGTCTCTGGATTTATGCTATTTTTAAAATTAAAAGCCCAAATTCCCAACCCCTCAAAAGATTATCTCACATCCTCACCCACTGTGAATTCCAGGATCTTCTAAGGACTATCAAGCTGGTCTTGGAGAAGGCAGGTAAAACCATACCACCTCTTAAAACCAATCTAGTATACTCCCATCCTGTCTGCAATTGCCATGGCCCTGAGTCAGGCAGGGCAGAAAGAGGCTTCAACTTTTTTTGTAAGAAAAAATGTTGATTTTCTTTCTAAACACTGATGTGGATTGACCTAAACAAAGTGCACTAAAATTGTCACTCTTTAAACAAAGAAAACAAAACACCTTATGGAAATATTCCATGGTGAATTTCAATACGTATAGAATGACCTGACCCTTACCTCCAAGACCAGTATTGGGAGCAAAACTTTGTTATCTGATAAATTTCACACTTTCAAAATGATCAGACAATATGTGTGGATCAAATCAGACAGCTTAAAAACAAAAGAAAGATGAAAATGCATATGGAAGAAACACTTTGAGAAATGTGTTGAATTTAGACAAAATATGTTTAAATGTGTGTTTAAATGTGAATTTAAAAAAGCTTATACATTAACGTAGAAAGGACAAAGAACAAATTGATGAGTGAACACAGTCAAAACTGACACACATAGGAAACAGCCCATTTCCACCCTCCCTAATTAAGACTTGGTCAACATGCTCCATGGCTCACTTACCTGGTCTGTCGTAATGGGATGGGCAAGGAGATGCACAGAAAGGGATCAAAGGTGTTGCTCTGCTTTAGGCAGTGAGGGCAAGTCAGCGAAGACCTAGAAAGGAAACAAGAGAACTGTAATCAAATCACATATCAAAATATATATTACTTTCACATTTGAGAGTAAGCAGACCTCCAATGCATAACCTGGGGATCACAGAATGGCAAGTTCAAGAGACAGCATCCCTCATCAAACTTGCACATTGACATTGGTCAGAAATAACCAGAACAGGGAGGAATCCCAGAAAGAATGCTTAAGACTGGCCCCCTCATTACTGTGCACTGGGTCCTCTTCAATCTGGGAAGGGATGACTGAGGCACAGTAGAATTACCACAAGAAAGATTCACACTTGTCCCTTCCAGAGAGGCCCAAAATGTGGGACCTATCTCACTTTTACTGGAAGCATCTAAAAAACACCTCCAGTAAAAGTGAATTAATTAGAGTAAACCAGGTTTTCCCTGGTTTACTCAGCATTAATTAAATACCTCTTTAGAGCCAAGCCTTCCTGAAAGGCCTGGGTCCAATGAGTTATTGGGCCTGGGGACTAGCTAGTAGTCTACTTCCACAGTCCCGGGGGTGAGTCCTCACAGCCATCCTATTTCCTTTGGCTTTCAAAAGCCCAGAGGAGAAGGATGGCACCCACCTTCTCCTTTCCAGCCTCCCCATTTGAGTCCCCAAAACTTACCAGAGAGGCCTGCCGGCAGCACAGTCCTCCTGGTTCCTGGTGCAAGGAGATGGGGGGGGGGGGGGGGCAGAGATTTCACTTGGCATGGCATGTAGCTCTCCCTAACCCTCCAGGAAAGTTCGGAGTTTGGGGGGAGGGACTAGAACCTGTGCCAAAGCGGGTTACTTTAATAAGTTTCAGCACAGGTTTTGGCACAGTCTAGAAGTACCCTCAGTCTGCGATCATTCTGAAACCACTCTAAGGTGCTGGATATCAAGTCCACATTGTTAAAAATCTTGCACTTGTATCCATAGAAAATGGCTTGACACACACACATGCATGTATGACAGTACTTGTCTGTCCACTCCACACTTTGGAGAAGCAGCAGCATTTACTACAAGCACGTGCATGCTCCGTGTTACTCTGCCAGGAAACCCTGGAGACTTTATGGTTAATAGCATCTACAATATATTTTAAAGATAGTTTTGAGAATTTTTTTTCTCACATAACTTGACCTAGGGCAGAGTCAAATTCACACACACCAAGAAAGAGGCAGAGAGAATTGAAGAGAGAAAGCACTAATTATGAGAGGAGCAAGTACCTCCTCTCATAATCAGTGTTATAATAAACAAACTACATTTTGCCTTTCTAGCCTTAATATTTAAAAGACTGTTCATTTCCTTCTCATGCTTTTCATCATTTTTTTGGTTTTCAGATCCAGCTCTTGTGGTAGAGGACTAGGCTTAACCATATACCATTCTATGAAATTCATGGTATTGTCTTAAGTAGACAGACAACTTGAAGTCATATACACATGCATATAACAAAGGCACAATGATTAGCTGGAAAGCTAAAAATGTCCACAATGTGTGATGAAAACATTGTAATGCTCCTCCTTGTATTTGTCTCAGAGATCCACTGACGTGTATCAGTAAGTAAGGAATCCAAGATTCCTAAATTAGTCATGAGCAGTCCTGAGTTCTCCTACACAATCTAGCACATGATCATCTTGTATAATCTTGAATTAAACTGAACTCATGGTCGGAAATGCCAGATTATCTGTTTGTGAATCTCAACATAAAGCTTCAAAACCGTTGTTCTCTCCATCATGTTCATTCCAGTAGGGAGTAAGGGGAGTAAGGGGGATATTCTAGCCTGGCTTCCTCACTCACCCTCACCTATAGTTGTTCAGATGGAATTGTAAATTTATACCCTGCTTTGAATCACAGACTCATAAAATATCTGAAACTGCAGAAGCTGCTGATTCACCACCCACAAAAGGGTAAATAAACTCATCACGTCACCCCATCTTGCATCCATGGTTTCTCAACATTTATGATAAATGGGAAATAAGCATCATTAAGCAGGATATCAGTGATCATCATCTCTCGTATTTGCACCAAGAGAAAAGCTCCATCTAAGACCAGTCTTTCAGGCAGTTGGATATCAAGAAGTAAGATCAAAAAGAATTGACTCAAGGTGAACCCCAAACCTGAACTATCCAGCTATGTGTCAGTTACACAACAAATGATGGACACACATACATCCTCTTTTACTCCCTCCCTTCTCCTACATTTATCCCAGCACAGGATTCAAGGTGGTTTACAACCATTAAATGTTTTTCATTGTGTGACTTATGGTGACTCCAAGGTGAACCTAGCGTGGGGGTTTCTTGGCAAGATTTGTTTTTTAAAAACTAAGTTACAAATGCAAGTTTAAAGCAATTTAATAAACACATTTAAAACATAATAAAATAGAAACAAAACACTCTCCCCTTTAATAGCTCCATTCTCAACAGCTTATTGAAACCAAACACTTGTCTAAATAAAATCAGTATTTATCAGCTAGCAGAAAGAGAGCTGGGTGGGGGTCGGATGTGCCTCCCAAGGAAAGGATTCCCAGTTTGGGAGCAGCCACAGAAAAAATTGTATTCTCACCCAACACTACTGTGATGTTGGTGGGATCCCTCCCATCATCTTAAAGCCAAAACAGGATCATATAGAGATGAAGAGTCTTTCAGATACTCTGCAGACAAACTGTGCCCCATAGAGTAACCAATCAAAATTTGGCAGTAACAAATAAAGGCAGCATTAAAGAAGAAAGGAAAGAAAATAAAAGGGAAGTGCTATAAGAGATAATTAGAGAGTTTTAACCACAGATTAGAATCATAGAATCATAGAGTTGGAAGAGACCTCATGGGCCATTCAGTCCAACCCTCTGCCAAGAAGCAGGAAAATTGCATTCAAAGCACCCCCGACAGATGACCATCCACCTCTGTTTCAAGCTTCCAAGGAAGGAGCCTCTACCACACTCTGGGGCAGAGAATTCCACTGCTGAACAGCTTTCATCGTCAGGAAGTTCTTCCTAATGTTCAGGTGGAATCTCCTTTCTTGTAGTTTGAAGCCATTGTTCTGCTAGAAGAAAATGGCTCAAGTCACCATGGTCCTAAAGAACAGATGTGGTAGGTGTCTGCCCCTCCAGGTGCTTTTGGACTCTAAATCCCAGCATTCCTCACTGTCTGCTATCCTGGTGAAAGCTGCTGGGAGTTGGAGCTCAACAACATCTGGAGGACCTGATGATTCTCCAGCCCTGCAATAGTAGCTTTCCTAGCACAGCAAAGTAGCCCTTCATCTGGAAGGAGCATTAGAAACAAGCTTATTTCCATCCACAGCAGCAGAGAGAGCTGGTCAGCAGAAGTGAGAGCAGCTCCTAATAAGATTGGCCCTCAGACATGCTAGCTGGATAATAGGATTGTATCTAACAAGATTACCTGGAAAAGTAAAATCCTCTCCTTAACATTAAAAAAGACAAAGAGAGATAAGAGAAAATGCACCTTGAAAAGAGGCATCAATTTCAAAGAAGAAAACAGTGGCTATATTAAGAGCCCCCGGTGACGTTAAAACCCTTGTGTCAGCATGGTTGCTGACTGAAAGGTTAGCGGTTCGAATCCGGGAAGCAGGGTGAGCTCCTGTCTGTCAGCTCCAGCTTTTCATGCTGGGACATGAGAGAAGCCTCCCACAGGATGGTAAAACATCAGGGCATCCCTTGGGCAATGTCCTTACAGACGGCCAATTCTCTCACACTAGTAGCGACTTGCAGATTCTCAAGTCGCTCTAGCACGAAAAAAGTGGCTACATTCCTAGTTATACAAAACAGCTGCTGAACACCTTTGTTTTGTTCTTGAGATGATGTTAGACTTTTTATTTTAATAACTTGACTGGCAATATCTTTACAGCAGGCCAAAATAAATAAAGAAACTGGGAAAATGATTAAGTGGGCTAGTAAGAAAGGACTAACAGAAATAGTCTTTAATACATTTATTATTGCGAGTTTACATCCTTACAGCAATAGAGGAGAGCTGTACCATTTTGGTAGGGCCAAAGTTCAAATTTCCACTCATTAGAAAAACAACCCTTATTTTTTTTGAAAAAAAATAGGCTTTCAGTTCCAATTTCCATTTGTGTGGTGTGCGTTGTACATCTGTGGGGATGTCATTTAGAGGCTGGGTAGTGTAGTGGCGAGAGTGTTGAACTGAAACTTGGGAAAGCAAAAAAATCCAATACTTATAGAGCCATGAATCTCATTAGGTGATCTTAGGCCACTGTCTCGCAGTCTGACTTGCCTCACAGGTTGTTTGGAGGACAATTTTAGGAGGAGGAAGGACATACATGCCTTTTGATGTCATTTGATGAAAAATGGATATTAATGCAAATAAACATGAAAAAATCATAGAATAATGGCTACCACAAAATTTGGTGGTGATAGCCACTAGCTTAGATGGTTTCAAAAGGGTTGCATAAATTCATAGAGGAGGATCAGTCTATCAATGACTATAGGTGATGACTGCGAATCATTGTGGAAAGCCAAATGCTGGGACTCAAGCTTCAAGGGAGGAATGCTTACAGGGTTCCTCAAATCATCTGACCAATCACTCTGGAAATGACAACTAAAAATGCATATATATTTGCAGAGTCCAGCAGAACTCTTCATTTTGTTCACAGAGCACATCACTGGAAAGTAAGAATGACTATCAATTGCATCATGGTGGCTTCCTCAAGAATAAGACCACATGAAGAGGAACATTCTTCCTCTTCAGGGATATTATAAATATTAACTAGAAATAGCCAGTTAACCTCACAAACTCTTGTTTTTTTCTCACGTTCTAAATTAAAATTAAACCAGATTCTGAGCCTTTGTTTTTCTTTTGTTATGTATCACAGCCAGCAAGCACAGAGCAAAGAAGTGTTGTAAGTTAATAGATCGTTTGCATATAGACAGGCTCTGACGCACAGATCTGAAGTTGGCAGACTGAAAATGAAAGCAGCCTTTTTAATAAGCTTTAATGAGAAAGGGATTAATTGGGAAGTGAAGTGATCTTGCATGCGAAGCA